CAGCCAGTACTCATCCACCGTCCAGGTTGCTGTGTAATGGTGTTTTCTTTCAAAGGCCCTTTTGTCTGAGTCCTGCCCTTTTGTATCTCAGTCGATGGGTGAGAGGGCGCGCGCGTGGCATAGTGAAGATTATTAGTGAAGTATTAAGTCTGACCTGTCATCCAGTTTCTCTGTAAATTTCATTAGATGAGAGAGTCATTGCCAGTATTACCCTTCCAATCTCCTAGGACACTCCTGCAATGAGGAAATCATCCAAGTGATACTCTCGGCCAGACTTATTCTCTCTTGTGTACCGGCTTGTAAGTGTGAGGGTGGTGTTTAGATGTGATTTTTGGTATTGTGTGTGGGGGAGGGTGGTGGTAGGGAGTGGGTTCTGGTTTAGGTCTGTTGCGTGGTGTTTCGTGGATGTAGTGGGCTTGCGTGTTGGGTAGTGGGTTGTTGTGATATAAAGTTACTAAACCGTGGTGTCTGATGGAGAGTTGTTTTATAATTCTATGTCTGACGCAATACACAACCATCTGCATTTTATTTCATATACAGCTGAAGCGATGGTATCAGTATTATCTGGAGAGCAGCATATCTGCGTATGGTTACTTTTGCATAATTTAAACTGGATCGGTAGGTGGAGAGTCATTGTGGACAGACTACAAGAACTGTAACAGCGAATTAGATTTACTGTCGTTTGTAAAGAATTGGAAGAGAATGGGATGTAGTAGAGAATTTAATTTGTCTACCTTTTTTGCATTGCGGAAAGAGAGAGAACGCATGGAACCAACATAGTGCTGGATTCATCTTGTTGAGGACTGAATGTATAACCTAGAGTCTTTTCTGTTTCTGAGCAATGATTATGTTTAGGTGAGTATTTTGTTGCCTATGTGCGTCCTGTGCTGTTTTGATGTGGGTGATGATGTGAATAACAGTGTTGAGTACATGAATAGTCGATGTTTTGAGTTTCATCTCCTCTCCGCTTCTGGGATCCACAGATAGTGAATATTCACATTTCAGGCTTTTGTGTGATCATATGTCACTGTGAGAATATCTCTGACAATTGGATAAATGTTGATAGTGTGGAAATGTAAGATTATTGAGAGGTGCGTTAAGAGATGATCTGTTCTATCGAATTTAAAGATAAGGTGTTTATGAAGGTTTTAAATATAATGATAAATCATGGGCGTTAGTGCATAGTATTTGTATTATACTATTTGATGCGCTGTGTGAGTGAACTGAATTTAGAGGTTCAATTTTTGGATTATATGCGTTAGAATTATTTTAGGTAATGCAGTACAAGCTCGTTCGAGTGTGTTTAGTAGGATTTGTTCTTCGTCCTACATGGAGTCGTGGTATAAGGATTACAATTAGAGTGATTGGTAAGAGATTGAAGGTTTTGCTGTGGGCCATGACGAGCTGCGTCTGAATAGCGCACGTTCACACTGACAGCCGTACTGTGTAGTGCTTCTGACTTTTAGTGTTGGTCTGCTAATATACTATTTCCTGGTTTATATTATCTGGTTAGATTGTCTCATGTGATTATAAACTCGAGGATTGTGTTGTTCATTGTATAATTATTAGATTTACAGATTGGGGTGCGCGTAGTGGGGTAGTCGTTGGTTTAGAGTTAGCGTATTAAGCTGTAGAAGTTATATGTTAGAAAGCGGATTGTAAACTATTTAAGATGAGGGCTTGATCATAACAGATTTATGTTCATGTGCTAGCTTGGGTATTGTGGCTGTACAAGCGTTATACGCGGACCCAACCAGCTTAACTGCATCTGTAGTATGATAAGCTTGATACAGGCTATTATTTTCTTGTGTGATGTACGTCCATTGTAGTAGGTCATGCGAGGCAAGCTGTTGAAGGAGAAAGTAGGTATCTATATACTGACGTCACGAGGGAAGCCGTAGGGAGTTGTCACGCGTGCGTATAGCAGGTATTCTTGCCTATCACCTGACCACGAAACTCGTATGTTGGGATGGTCTACGGTTTTGAACAAGTGAGATTAGTTTTTTTTTGTTCTCAGTTGGTGTTTTGTTTTGATCTTTTAGGGATATAGATGTTTGGATAACCGTTGTTAGATCCCAGTTACCCCCGTATAGGTGGTGCTGGACAGCTCTCCGTTTAAAAGGTCCGAGGCCTCTTTGCCTATGAGTATTAAACCCTATTAGGTTCAAAAACTATTTAAGCTGGTGCGAGGAGACCACGCCTAGCTTCTAATTAACTGCCTTCATCCAAACACAAACTACCCTGCTCACTCTAAGTGCAGCACCTGACTGATAGCCCTAGATCTAAATACCACCTAATCACGTCCGTTAACGACAGCCCTCCCTCTTATTGATCGTGCACTTGTTAGTGCTAGGTTATTTTAGTGGATTTTAACAGTTAAGCCCCAAGGTCTGTTTAATTTTATTTGGCTAGATTAACCTGATAGACCGTTAACGTTATTTGAATACACTACCTAATAATCACTGCCCTAATGAAGAAATCATGAAATCCAATGTCACAGTTATACTTAGCTCCCAATGTTTTTGTTTATTGCAAGATTTAGCAAGGCAAGCATACACACATGAATTGATTAAAAAACTGAATTGTTCACATTTCTACTGATAAAATTAACTATGTTCTGTATTCATAAAAAATGATTAAAATTTCAAACCTTAATGAAAAGGCTTGTAGCTGAATGGTCAAAATGTCCAGCTTGTAGAGAGAGAGGAAGAGATGTATCAGCCAAAAATACAGTTCTTTCTTACCTGCCGTACTGTTGGTTGCTGTTGAAACTTCTGACTTTGTCCAAAGTCTGCAAGTCTGATGTGTTACCTGTGTGTGGTCCAACTTCCCCTTTCTTTCCGCACCAGACATATCTTGTGTTGACAATACGTGCCTTATTTCACCAGTTACTTCAACACTTCACCATGACTTTGCTCCCCTTGACCTTACTTTCCTAGTTCTTTGTCTTACTACTATGCATTATCACTCAATAATCGATCAAATACATCAGCTTAATATCATATAATCCATGTTTCCTTTCATTGTTACATATTTCATTTTGTAATGATGAATCAACTTCAATGCAATTATACAGCTTTTGTTATTATAATCTCTGTGCATTGCATTATTCAGATGGAGAGTCCCTAATGCTCTGTTGTTATCTTTCTCTGTTACTCGATGGACAGTCCTTTGCTTTCCAAAGTGGTTTTAGCGGATCAGGGATCTCAACTTACTTGACAATCCACATCGGAGAGCAGGCTGGCCGACAGGCATGTCTGGAGAGTTCTTCTGGTCAGAGTAAGCTGGTTGCTGGAAGTAGTATTTAAGAACTGTGAACTGGCAAGCTTAGCTTCACCTAGGGAACATCAGCTCATATGTTCACATCTAATGGAACATGAAGGGTTTGCTAAACTTAGATTGAAGATGTATCATGAGTCTGGATTAGTTTAGCAGCGCAACAATTGGGGGCTCATCCAGGCTGTGACCATAGACTGTATATACTGTATATGACTGTATATGTATAGACACGTGTTCAACGTGTTGTAATGTATTTTCTACCATTTAGGTGAGCTATACTTGGGTCCAGGTATTGTGGTATGTTTGCTCACTGTCATGACTTACTGGGACACTTAATGGACCTGAGCCATTGTTAACAAAATGTGTTTCACCTGTGCTTTTCCTGCTACTATGCTGTCTATTCCCTCATTAACCCCACAGTATATTTACTTGCCCAATAACTATAGTCTTTAACCGATTCTACATGTGTCTCCTGGCCATAGCTTGTTTAATTAGAAATTATTAACAAATTTCCCCCCAGGTTCAATAAAGTATTTATGATTCTGATTCTGATTAGTTGAGATCGACCCCTGGTGGGAATTCTCAAGTACAACAGTCAAATGAATCTGTGGCTGTATGTCACAAACATTATTGGAAAATACATGCAACAAATCAAGATCCCTGTATGTAAAGAATAAACCCACTGCACATGTAAAATTGTATTTGTATTATGTTGTTTGTTAAGGAAGTTCAATTATATTAAAATATAAAATGCATTGTGTTGTGTGTTGTATAAGGTATGTGGGAGTTATTTTGTCTGTGGACAACAGTCAATAAACATGCTTGTGGACACAATCTGGGGAATATGTATATAAGAGTATCTGCAAAACAAACAAAAATAACAGCAAAACTTTTAGCATTCAACAGCCATAAAATCTTGACGAAAGAGTTTTGGCTAAACAGACAGATATTGAACCTGTTCTGGACATGCATCTGATGTTCAAAAGTGTGTCTGGGTGTACATGAATGTGTGGATTTACTGACATGAAGTGGCCAAAATGTGTAAATCCATGAAATGCTTAGTGTCTGCTGTGAAATCTGAATTTATGAAAAACCTCCTTTAAAATCCATGTCAAAACATTGATTGACACACTCAGTGGGCATAGACAAGCAGAAGTAAAGTTTCTTTAATATCTACAAATATTAATAGATATTCCTAAATGTTACACACCAGACCTTTAAAACCTCCAGCTGCTAGTTCCTCATTTTGAATCTAATAGATTCAAAATGATGAACTATTATTGTGTGCTCCGCTGCACAGAAAGTGGACTGTTTCTCTAATTGTACAAGAGCTTACTTGGCTTGTTTATAAAAGCAGTCTAAAATGATTCCTTTTCATCCAACTGCACAGAACAGGATCTTATTAAACTCATTATCGCAATAAAAACCCAACTTTGAATGTCAGAAACATTATTCCCATCACCAGGCATTATTTTTAACAGATTCTGAAACTTGGCTCTGTTCAGCCTGGGTAGTTTAAGAGAACCCGTATGGGAACGGTTACTCTTGACTGCAAATGTTTTATTGATATAATGCTCAAATTGCAGGAGCAGCTCTGCTGTCCTAACAATGTGTCGCAATGCTCCTTGTCCAATAGATGGCAGGATTGAGATCTATTTCAGGTTTGTATGATCTGGATTCTGCAATATTCATCACACATAATAAACAGAGAAACAAGATTGGCCTGTTAATGAATAACAGAAATAGTGATAAGACACCTGATTTAAAGAGTCAGAAAGTGCTGGTTCACACTAAGTATCACAGATAGCCATTACTCACTATTTATCAGTCACGCAGCATCTGTTACAAAAACTTGTTAGTGCTACAGAACTTTCGTTAGCAGAGACCATTTTAAATGTGTGCAAGAACTTTTAAGCCTTTCACTGTTTTATGCACAGATGAGACAAAAATAATTATTTGTAATCTTTTCAACGGCAGTAGGAAAACCACTGAAAGATCTTGTGTAGTGATACATTGTACTGTAATCAAATGAGCTCATCAGGAAGTGGAAAAATGCAAACCAGCCAATACGTCACATCTTAAAAACAGCCACCACCAAGAAGCAAGTTTGACACAGAATTTGGAAATGTGTCTAGATATGTTAACATGTTAATAAGATGAGAGACAACCTGAAATTTTCCCCTGGAAATTATTTGTGATGTCTGTAATCACATTATTTTTATCATATCTAGACATGTGTACTACCAATACCCATTAACAAGAACTGCGATTAGTAAAACATAATCTACATGAGTGTGCAATAATAATAAAATAATCATTCACATGGTTCAGTTTGTCACTTCATATTTATTATATAATAGAAAATCACAGATCAGAAAACAATATGTTAATCACACCACAACAAATACAGAGTAATTACTGTAATGTCTATAGTTGAGCAACAGCTCTATTTTGACCTGATGAACAAGTGAATTGACTCAAACACACAGAATTAAAATATTCACAGATTTGTAAAAACAGTATATATACAATACATTATTTACAAGTTCATCTACTGAGTTTTGTTAATGGACATTTGTGGTTTTTAAATTTCCAGAATATAAAATTCATAATTTCATACTACTGTTGTTTGTGTCTATCCAATCAGTCAATGATTAACCCCAATGACGCTGTGCTATGGAACCAAGATTAATTATAGACCTGCAGATGTTGATAAGGTGTTTTTGTTGAACACAACTGTGGTGTCAGGACAAAGCATTCCAGTCCTAACTTGGACTGCAGGATATTTTCTGGTGATCTTCTTCATTACCAAGCTGGTCACATATCAAAAAATCTAGAAAGGCTCAAAATATGGGCGCACATTTCTCTGAAAGATATCAGATGAAGAGAAAATGAAACCATAAACCTGTTTGAGATGGTAAGAAGATAAGCAATAATTTGGCAACGAAGTTGCATACTACTGCCAAAGATTACATAAACACAGTCACAGCCAAAGACATTTGGGGGAACAAAAACATGCGTTTTAGACTTTTATACACCACATACTATTTCGCAACAGCAAATAAGTGACATGTGAAGATCATGAGACGTGGAAGTGCAACTTCACCGAGTTAAATTTCTCTGTGGCTAGAAAAGGATATGAAAATTGCAGGGATTGAATATTCTCAGGACAGCCTGTGGAAACACTGACCTTTAAGATAACCAACTTCATTATTTGTCTTGAAGCGGGAAAGTACCAGTGTGCTTTGTATGTGTTTCTACAGAACCTCAAATGATAAGGCTGGTGATATCCTATATTTTCTTTATTTTCTACAATTCCCATGAAAGGACAAAAGCCAAAAATGAATTGATTTATAGCATATTCTTCTTTGCTATAGACCTTATGTCATAGAGGAAGGTTAGAAGGAAGTCCACTCCTGCCAAGCTACCAATTGCTACAGTTACTGCGTGGGCTGATCAAACACAAGATTAAACAAAGGTTTTTCACAAACAGCAAACACATCTGTTATTCACTGACATTCTGATATCACTATCAAGTTGGTTTTTGGTGATACATTGGGCTCCCACTGGTTATTTAGGTTTTAAGGTCACAGGACCTGAACACAATCCATAGCTTTTAAGTGTATGTTTAGATTTAGAATAGATTTAACAGTGTTTACTTAGTAAGCTTAGATGAGTCCCTTAAAATTTCTCTGATAAATTACAGTAATACAAGTCATTCCCAGTTATATACTGTACACACACACACAATTGTGCAGTAGGAAAAGTGCAGTGACAGTGGAGTTACGAAACAAGGAAGTGTTGATTTCAGAGGTTGCCAGTAAGTTTGCATATTCGTGTGGCTAGTATGCGTCCTGCAGAGAGGGAGTGGGAGAGAGAGAGACAGGAAGAGAGAAAGAGATTTTTTAGATATTTGATATTGTTCTTATATATTGCCAATGCACACATTATGAAATGGAGGTGGAATTAATCTTAACAATTGTTTGCTTGGAGAATTATTTTTTACCTCAGGCCAGGCTCTTTTGGCTTTCTATATCCATCTGCTGATGATCATCTACAAAAAGAGTTCACATCAAAGCCTTAATTAAATCTTATAGAGTGCCTTTGACAGCAAAACAAAGGTTTATTAGTTAGACACAGTGACATACCTGCCTCATCGCCTGGTATATATGGGACCGCTTGATGGTCACCTGAAACAAATTAAAGATGTTACCATGAGTTACAAAGGGTGGGTGTAAAACCATCACCATATTTACCAAGTTCATAGCATGCAAGCATAGGCAGGTCTCTGGTGATAAGTGTCTAAAATATGAGTCAGGTTATATTATGATTCAAAAACTGGTGAGTAGTAACCAAGCCCAATTTTCCACCAGCCATGGAAAAATACAAAACCTATGTCCAGTGTAGTACATATCACTAGACTAGACACCTTTAAAGTCAGAGGAAACTCAGTGAGCACCATTTGACCATGTGCTCAAAAGGTTCAAAGTTCAAAAGGTGGCAGTAGGAAAGCATGTTCGAACAGACATGAAATGAGATCGGAGTGGTGAGTAAGTCTGGGAAGCTGACCATATATAAGTATATATATATACATATATATTAATCAGTAAAATAACATGCAAAAGTGAATCTGTCAGCAGGTCTGTAGCAGATAGTGTTTCAGGCTGCAAAAAGCTGCTGATTGAAAAATCCATAGATAGAACCTTAATTTAAACCTCTAAAGATACACTGAATGTTAGCCCTTCATACCCAGTTAGAAAAGAATAGTATGTTTGTCCAAAATGGACGTACTCATGAGGGGTGCTGTAGAGGGCCTCCGTGCCTCTGCAAAAAAAATAATTAATGAATAAAAATGAGTGCTCACTTACTGCAGATATCTACTTGTACTTACTTCACCAATCTTTGTGAGACATTTTTTAGAACACTGTCTAACAATGGAAAGTGGTTTCACTCTACTGTTTTAGACCAATGAGAGG